ATCTGGGCTGGTAGTTTATTAACTTTCAATTTGCTGATGAAGTTGAGTACTTATCCTTTTGACACTGTTTGCCTCGGTTTCTCATACTCCCTGTATCCAGTTCAGGCACATGAATCTGTCCTGTATTTGCTGCAGTGAAGAGAACATGGAAATAATGCATTACACTTTTATGGAATCTCCTTGTCCTCCTTTAATGTCCCTTTAACCCATTGTTGTCCAATGCTCTGAGTGCATCTATAGTTATTGGCCTTGATGCTGTTAGTTAAATGCTCCTCAGAATGCATGTGTGTGTGTGTTTGGGGGGGTGGGGGTTGTGTCTACCTCTGGTTGGCTGCTTGCCTCTTTGTGCAAGCTCCCACTTCCTGTTATTTTCCTCATTTGGGCAAGACCTCCACTTGGTGAAGGAAGCCTTCTTTTCTCAAATAGCTTCCTTGACCTTGCTTGGTAATGATGCCCGTGAGCTCTTGCCTTCGTGCTCCCTTTCCTAACCTGGGTTACGCATTCTAGCGGAGTTTCTACTGCTCTGGCTTTAGGTAACCTCCAAGCATTTAGAAGGAAGGTAACCCTCTTGACTTCCCCTTTCAACTTCCTCTCTACAGGCCCCTTGTTGTAGAGAAGTTTCTTCTTTTGAAGTTAAATAGGACTGTGTTGGGATTCCTTGGCAATTTTCCACTTAAATCTATCTTAAATCTGATAGCATTGTGGTCACTGTGTCTAATGAGTTCAAACAACGTGTATATCGCATACGAGTTCATGGGTGACACTACTCGGGATGAAATCCAGGCTCACCTCTCCTCTAGCTAGTTCCATGACCATTTCTTCCAAAGCACTTCCCTTGAGGTCAAATGTTACCCTTTTGTCATGGCTAGAAAATACATTTATCATGTCAATTGGGGGTACCCAGAATTCTCACAATTTCTTTGTTGGAGGCCTCCCTGATTCCATTTTCCACCCTGAGGTCTGGGGGTGTGGGGAGTGATCACACGTTCCCAGTACTAAATTAGTTTTGGAGCCCAGTATTGTCACCCACAGAGCTCCAATATCTCCCCAGGAATCTGGGTTGGCACACACTAGCTGTTTCCACACATGGGTGCCAGAAGTTAGCAGATCATTCTGTGACAAGATTCACATGTCATGCTTAAAGGCTAGGAACTTTGTAGAAATCATTTCATGTTTATGGTACAAAAAGTCTCTTTCTCCCCCTTCCTTCCTTCCTTCCTTCCTTCCTTCCTTCCTTCCTTCCTTCCTTCTAAATTGTTGCATTGTCGCTCTTAGGAGGCTGCAGTCTTACATCTCAAGGAGGCCTCTCTCTAAAGACTTGAGAATCAGTCCCATTGAAATCATCTTAGTAAACCTCCCTAGGTTTTCCAGCTACACAAATGACTGAGTACAATGAGATTTCCTAACTTTGGGAATGTTTGCAACCTTGCCTTCCTCCAGTTTTTAAAAGCTGGGTTCTTTCGTATTTTTTTTAACCTTCCTTACAGTGTGGATGTAATATTCTTTCCAGTGGGCTTCAGAAACTGCCTTGAAAACTAGATTGGGTTAAAAAGCCAGGTGTAAAACTGAAAGGGAAACACAGGAATAATAACACGGGTGGACTGCGACTTTGCCAAAAAAACAAAACAAACAAACACGATTGGCGCTTCTTTGCTTCTCTCTTGGTCTCATTCTTTCATGCACAAACACACACATACCCAGAAGATTTTGAGTTTTCTTTGGAGAGAGAAAACCAGGGTAGAACCAAGGTCAGTCCTGTGTAGAACAGACCTGTTAAGTTTCAACTTAATCACAATTAACGAAACCCCATTCATTTCACTTGCAGGTAAGACTAACATTGGGTACTATTATCCTTGTATTGCAAGCATACCGTGGCTTTCTTACTCTTGCAAAGAACCCAAGGCCACGTACCCCTTTTCCTCCTCTCCATTTTACCTTCTCCACAGCAGTCCTGTGGGGCAGGTTAGGCTGCTAGCCGTGCTGGCTCAAAGTCACCCAGCCCGAACTTCATGGCTGAGTGGAGACTGGAACCTGCATCCCGAGTCCTCTCCAACACCAAGCTACAACAACAACCACTACACCACACGGCCCTACCACAGTTTCCTTGCCCTTATGCTAAACAAAGTAGATGTATTAAAATGAGTGCTACTCGTTCACAAATCACTTAATTCATCCCGAGGGTATGAATTCATTCTGAGGGTATGTACGGTGAATGCTGAACACACCCTCCTGTCGGGGGCTGAATTCTTCAAAAACAGAGACACACACGGAGTCATTCTTCAAACCTTTTCCTCCGAGGAGGCTGCATCTAGCTTGGTAGAAGTACAACAGGAGAGAAAGAGTTCAGATTTATGTTCCAGGATGCCCCAGTGTCCACTGAACAAGTTCGCCAACCAGACACCTTCGGTTTGCTGTTTCTCATGGCTACAGACACAATTCTTTGCCCCAAGGCAAGTCAGTAAGAACTCAGGCAAGACTATACCACCTGGCATCGTAGCTGCTCCATCGCGATTAACAGAAACCATTGAATTCCACGAAATTTAGTGCTAAGTGTGTACAGTGGTGCCAACCTGTGTTTGCTAGGGCAAAAAAGGTACTACAATCCCAAGGATTCTCCATCCCGTATGGCTAAGATTTGCAGTATCCCCCACAACATCCATAGAATTGCATCCTTAAATAAATGCCTGCCCATTCCAGCCATCACAGGGGACGTTTGGGGATGATAGGAACTAACAGCTACACGAGGAGACCTTTTCAGTAGCCTGAACTGTTCGAACTGGTGTTCTGTGGGTTTGTGGGATTCACTAGGCAACCCAGGTAATGCCCGTATCATAAAACTGGACTGAAGAGGACCCCACACCCAGCCAGAATACCTCTCACCTCGCCTGTGGGAGTTAATTTAAACTAACAACAAATAACCTTGTGGCACTTTGCAGACTATAATTAATGTATTTCTCTTTCAAATCCCAGAGATGTTTTACTCTTCTCGCTGTAACTGACCCGCCACTCTGGAAATCAGTGATGTTGATTTAATATGCATCTATCATTGTGCAGCACAAGCCTGAACATATTCACTTCCATGTAAATCCAGCCTTGTACGAGGGTTTGACTCACTAGTGAGATTAGAATTGTACCCGTAGGCGGGGAATAAAGTAGATTTGTTTTCCCTGGTGGAAACATGTGGCGGGGCATTTAAGTTGTCCTCCGATGAGCGATCCTCAGCGAGTTTAATGGAAAGTAAAAGTGCTCACGACCGGAGCCACGGGCAGCATTCCTAAACGCGCTTGCCTGGGAGCAAATCCCATTGAATTCAATGGACCATGCGTCTGGCTTGCTCTGTTAAACTCTCTTCTAGAGCCGTTTTCCTCAGTCAAAATAATCAGAAGAGCGAAAGGAAAGAAGGCAGAAGTAAAGTCGAAGGACGCGGCTTGTTGGGGACATTAAATTCGCGTGTAATTTTTTTTGGGGGGTGGGGGTGCTTTCAAGACGGGATGCGGTCTTTCTCCCCTCCTTCCGAGTGGTCCAAACTCTGATTAAATACAAGCTCTTAATAGGATGGTGAGGACGACAAAAATGTGCTACCCCGTCTCGGAAAACCCGCGGCTCTCCCCAAAACTGCGTCCGGAGACGCTGCCAGATCTGTTCAGCTTTCTCCAGGCAGACTGGTGTTTATCCCCCAGTGACACCAATCGAGGCGGGGGGCAAGTGAAACACAGGATAGAGCCGGGAAGTGGACTTTTATAATATTTACAGCTGGCACGGGTTGAATCGCGCCGGGAGGACGCGGGGAGAGGAGCGCGGAGCGCGTGGTGCGAGCGGCCAGGCAGGCGCGCCGCTGACGGCCTGGCGCGGCCACGGAGCGCCGGCTCGTCCTGGAAGGGCCCTTATCTGCCGGTCCATTCACAGGCTGACCTTCAAAGGCTTTGCCGGGAGTAACTTCGAGGCAGGCGGCCGGTTACTCAATAATGAATTTTCCCTGTGCGCTCTCCTTGGTGGCAGTCTTGCATTCTATAAATATTTGTTTCCCCCAGACCATAATTAGAGGCGACTTGAAGGAGCAATAAAATTGGAAGCTTCGTTGGCTTTTGTTCCTCGGAAGATTAAAAGAAGGAGAAGATCTGAAATAAACCCCCTTTTTCCACGGGTTCCTCACTTCGCTTTCCAGGTCGCTTTTTTACGCTCTCCGCGCCCAACATACATACCTCAGCAAGACACCCCTTTGCTCTGCAAGCCGTTTTGCTGTGTTGACAAGACAAGGAGAAAAGAAGAAGCGGTGCGGGACTTTTACGCACATGTATTTATTTTCTAATCTTGCATCCGCACTTCCCTCCCCCACCGCCCTCCCCCCCGGAGGGGGGGGAACCTGCCGCCCCCAACCTTACTGAGTGGGAGAACGACTTCCAAATCAGAGGACTGGAGCGGCTGTGGACACCCCCCCCCGGGCCAAATTCACATTTCGAATTCATTAAAATGATAACCTTCCAAAGTGCTTTTAAGTACAGACAAGACGGATCTGATCCAGAGGCGTGTGTGTTCCACGTTTAAGGAGGGAACGTGTGGAAGATACACTCTCAAAGGAGTCACTGTGAATTCCCACACCAAGCCAGCAGTTCCCCTCCAGGTATATCAGGTAAAGCCCCTATGAGACGCCCATAAAATTTTATTGAAATGTTAATTATCTTTAAAGCCTTTTCTCCCCACTTCTAGAGGGTGAGGACAATTACAGAATCGGGGCGGGAGGCTTAAAACCATCATATGAATGCAAAGTAGGACCTTCACATTTTTGTTGGACCAGCTTTCACCACCAAACTTCAAAGCCATGAAAATATGGATTCACTCCAAGAAAGACAACATTTAGCACAAGAATAATAAAAATTCATGGGGAGAGGGAATTGGCATACTGAGAGAAAAATAATGGAAATTATATATATTAATGGGCAAAAATCCAGACTTTTTTTTTTTTTTACAAACCCACTTCAGAAGAAAGTTGGTACTGAATTATGATTTATTTTACCATTTCTATGGATGGGTGTTAGCACTTTAGAATAATGGAAAGTCCAACAATAATACTATCATACAGCCCTTTTACCCACCGAGTTTCCCCCCAAAGAGATAACCCCAAGCCAAAAGACTTTCCCTCCTCCAGATGGTTTGTGAACCAGAACAAGACATTGCAGTTGTAAACACAAGGTCCTCCCTGATCGATTTTGCTCACTTGCAACTTGGAATTCTTTTTGAGGGGTCCTGATTTTGAAATGAAAACGACTTAAAAGCCAGAAAGGAAACCACTGAAGTCCTTATTTACAGACATATGTACAATATTAATAAATTAAATTTTAATTTTGAGTATTCATACGCCACTTATTTACAAGTTATCCATTAATTACATAAATACTTTATCAATAGTGTCCACTTTTTTCTCCTTCACCTTATTACGTTTATAAACCTTGTTATTGCATATACAGTAAAAAGAAAATGGGGAGCTGCAAACCAAAACAGCACCAAGGAAATCGTGGACCTTGGAAAACAAAACAAACAAACAAACACGGTCCCTCCCCCGTCTAACTACATTTGGAATCGTTGCCACGCGAAGGGGAGAAGAAGAAAAGACGAGGGAGACGTCCCTGGGTTCTTAAAACAAGCAGGTAAAGAAGAAAGGGGTTCCGGAGGTGGAGATTTAGGATGGAGCATGCAGGAACCGGGTGGCTGCTGGCTTCAGTCTTAAAGGGCCGCCACGCCCTTCAGCGAGAGTGACAAGGCCGCAATCAGCCGCTTTTGTTTTGAAGTTTTAATGAACTGATATGCAAAAAGTCACTTCTCCGGGGCAGCAGAAAGAAAAATGCGATCGCTTCTCTGCCGCTTCTCGTCTTTCTCCCTTTGCATACAGGTAGGAACAAAAGACAGACAGACAGAAAGAAAGCCAGCGGGGAGGGGGCCATCTCGTCGCCTTTCCAGATTCCTCGTCCGCCCCCCCCCCTCCAGTGGACACCACAGTCTGGTGAATAGCAGCTTCCAATCGCCCCCCAACAGCCCCCCACTGGTCTCCCCCGCGCCGCCCTGGTCTCCTTTTCTCGCCCACCCTCAGGGCAACCTCGGCGGATGGGACAACTCAGTTCTAGCAAGTGGTCAGAAACGAGGGGGGAGGAGGGGTCCCCTTCCCGGCGAGGGGGACGGAGGAAAGCGCCCGCCCGCCCGCCCGCCCGCCCGCCCGCCCGCCTCAGGGAGACCCGCTCCGCGCTCGGTCCTGTTTGGATTCCAACCCACTCACGAGACGCTGGATGTTCTGCAGTTCGCTGGTGGCCGATTCCTTATCGGAGCAGAGTTTGGGGGGCAGCGAGACCACCGAGCCCGAGGAGGAGAGCGTGGAGGCGCGGCTGCTGGGTTCCGAGCCGGAGTCCAGGGCCGCCGAGGCCGGGCTGGACGCCAGGACGCCCGCCTTGCCCTCCGCCCCGCCGACCATGGACGGCAAGGCGGTGGTGAGCAGGCCGTTGCTGTCCGGGAGCGACACCGGGAGCGAGTAGGGGCTGTAGCGCAGGCGAGGGCGCACGGCGCTCAGGAACGGGTGCCGGTGCACCGAGCTGGAGGCTGCTGTCGAGGCCGCGGCGGCCGCCGCCATGTAGGTGTACGGGTAAGGGAAGAGGCTTCCGAAGGGAGACATGGCCAAGCCCTGCAAGAGAAGCGGTGGTCAGCGAGCGGCCGGCGGGGACGCGCCCGGGCAGCGCTGGGCGGCACGTGGCGCCCGGCCCGCGCCCCGCGAGCCTCCGCGAGAGGCGCCCGTCCCGGCCCGGGCCCGCGGCCCTCGCCCCTTCCCTGCCCCTGGGACCAGCACCCGGCTCCGGCTCCGGGCAGGTCCCCTCTCGGCCGTCCGCCTGGCGAGGCGATGCGCGCCCGCTGCGGCACCCCAGCCGCGCGTCGACCCCTCGGGAGGAGAGGGGGGCGCGGGCGGGAGGGGGCGCAGAGCACGTGCCCGGAAAAGGGCGCTTCCCAGCGCGGGCAGAGGACGCGTGCGCGCAGTCACGGCCTGGTCTCCTGCAGCGTGAGCCCCACGGACTCGAAGGGGGCTGAGCCCTGGCTGAGTGCGGGCAGCACGGCAGCCCTGGGAAATGGCGTGCCCCGTAGTGACCCCTAGAGAAAGCCACGGAGGCACGCTGGGCTGGGGGGCTTTCTCGCTGGGTCCTTGCAGCCTTGGGCCCACCCCCTATTTTGGATGCGTCGGTGTTTAGCTTCTGTTCGAGAGTGGAGGGGAGACAGTGGGAAGGACGCAGCTCTAAAAGATCAGCCCTTCCCTTAATTCAACACCAAGCAGCAATAAGAAAGTCTGCGCAGAAATGGCTGGCGGCAGCTGGCCGGGGGCTGACCCCTGCCTGCTTCTGCTCTGGCACCGGAAGGGGCAAGGACCCAGGGAAAACGCGACTGTAAAGCCTGCCAGACCCACTCCTCTTGGGTTATGTGCCCTCTTCTCCAGTGAACGGACCCAGGATTTCTGTTCCCAGATACTTGCCAGCCCCCACAAGCACCCCCACCCTCAAATCTGTAAGGGACGAGCCAGGGACAAACAGACCAGCTTCCTGACACTCGCTCTTTGGGGAGATGGCGGGGAGGCAGAATGCCCCCGATACCAGCAAAGCGCCCTTTCGCTCTAAAATGCTCCTGTTTCCTGTTCGGGGGTGGGAGTAGGGGCTCCCCCTCCCGTAAATTACCTGCGAGGCCAGGACATGCTGCTGGAGGTGGAAGGGGAGCGCCGCTGCGGCGGCGGCGGCTCCGGATAGTCCCTGGGCGGCTGCGGTGGCCATCACCGAGTTGTCCAGCCCGGTGACTCCTGCGGACGCTCCGGAGACGGTGGCGAGCAGCGGGCCCATGCCAGCCATGCCGGAGAAGGCACTGCCCATGGCGAACTGGCTGGGGTGGAGGAGCAGCGGGTGCCCGTTGCCCAGCGGGCTGAAGAACTGCTGCCCCGCCAGGCCGTGCGGGAACGTCAGGTTGGCCAGGTGGGCCTGGGCCAGGTGGCCGGCGCTGTCCGTCTGCACCGTGAGCGGCGCGAAGGGCTCCTTGGCCCGGCAGTCCTCCCGCGGGGGGCTTTTGGCCTCCTCCGCACCCAGGCTGCGGGTGCTCGAAGAGATGGCCGCCGGGCTGTGCCGGGAGTCCGGGGCCGCCCTGGGGACGCTGCTCCGGCTGCCCGCCGAGTCCGGAGCAAAGAGCTGCCCCTTCAGGGGGCTCGCCTTCTCCCGCGGCTCTCCCGCGCCGGCGGCGGCGGCGGCGGCGTTGCTGCCGTTCGCGGCCGCGGGGGTGGTGGTGGTCGCGGTGGTGGTGATTTTGCCGGCGTCATTCGCCTCCGAGGGGTCCTCTTTGCTTTCCGAGTCACTTTCCCCATCGCTGGGACACAAATCTGTAAGAGGGGGAGACCGGACAGGTTGAGGGACAGCCTCTGATATGCTTGCAGGACCGGGAGAGGGACAAATTGGACAGAAAGCAGCCTCGATTGGGCTCAAAACAGCTGCTGCTCATTCAAAGTCTGTGCTACCAGCAAGGGCCATTAAGGGTCCACCACTTAGAACGAAATCGAGCTCAGTTTTTTGGAGAATAAAGCCCGTGCCCCGATTTCACACACGCGCGCCTTCACATGCTTCTTGTGAACCTGGAACATGCATGCATCTTTCAACATTCCCCAGCGGACATTTCTAAGCCTTCCGCCCACCCCACTTGCGAAGAAGCTGAGGCAGCTCACAAGGTTCTCCTGGCCCTTTCAGCTGTCCGGCAGTCCTGCGAGTTGGTTTGGGCTGAGCGTCAGCGGGCGGCTCGAAGTCACCCAGTGAGTTGAAGCCTGAGTAGGAACCCCCACCCGGACCTCCAAGGTCCTGTGCCAAAGATCCCTTGTCTTGGGGCTGTGTCGCTTCACACTGGGCCTGCAGCCAGGTAGAATGGAAGGGTACTTCCCCCTAATTTTTCTCTGCCCCTGCACTTGTTACAAATGGTTTTTTAAACATGTTCAATGGTGTCTTTAAAATGCCTGCAAATCAGATGAACTGTCCCCCTTTTACCCCCCTCCACAAGCTTTTTGGCTGCCCAGTGGCCTTTCTTGGACTGCGCATTGGGGATCTTTTGATTAAACGCTTCACCACATTAAAGGTGTGTAAGGGGGCCCTGCACACAGGAAACTAGCTTAGCAGGCAGAAACTTCAGGGCTACTCTTCTTCCTTCTGTGGCAATTGCAGTTGTGGTCCAAAGCACTGGCAGGACATGTGCTTGCTTGCTGTATCCTGGTGGGTGAAGCTGGTCTGGAGGATAGCTCATTTCCTTATTTCCATAATAAACTTGCAGCTGAAGTGGGGGAAGGCAAGAGTGAGGAATGGGAGAGGAAAATCTTAAGCCAGGTTTTATTTATCCTCTCTGCTCTCCAATGCAAGAAAAGATTAAGGTCTGGCTTCTTTCTTACCTCGGATGCAGAACTTGCTATACATACAGAGAGGGAGAAAGAGCCAAAGTTCCATGTTTTGCTTTTATTGTGCTTAGGATTTTTTTTAATGTGGGTGTCAAATAAAATATATACTCCTGCTGCCAATGACTCCGCAAAGTCCAGGGGTGTGCGATCTGCAGTCAGGAGTGGGTCCCATCGCACACAGTGCTGCTTCTCTCAGGTTAGGACACCGGTTAGCTCCCCAAAGAGAGAGAAAACAAAGATGATTCAGTTCTCCCAGGATGTACCTGCCTTCTACCTGTCCTCCTTTGTGGCTCTCCAGGTGGGGAAGGGAAGTTTCGAAATATCTCCCCCACTCCACATCCTTACTGAGACAGGCAGCTATGGATATGAACCGGAGAGGCCGCAGTTTTGAACTTTTGCTCTGGGCTCTGCCTTTGCTCTCCTGCCTCAGAGCTGGATGCTTTCATTCAGGCCACATATGAAATACAGATACCGGGCGGAAAGGGGGTGGGGTGGGGGAAGTAAGATTATAATGTCTGGAGAATTTTCAAGCAGATCCGTTTTCAGAATTGGAGTTGTGGGAGGGGTATCATAATTCTGTTTCCCCATCCCAGCAAGAGGCTCCAGCCAAGCTCCTTTCCACTCAGAGAAAATCACCCAGAAAGGGAAAGGGAAAGGGAAAGGGAAAGGGAAAGGGAAAGGGAAGGGAGAGAGGCCCCTTGTAATGGAAGTGTGGTGGGGGATGGGGACACACACACACACACACACACACACACGCAAAAATACCTCACCTTTCAGATTAGAGGTGCCCACGGCAGACACTGCAGGTGAGGTCGACTGGGCAAAGCACTTAAATGCGGTCTGTTCACTCGAAGATTCATCTGATGTTCCATTTTCCTTTTTCTGCCGTTCATCATAAACTCTCATGGACTGGAGCGTCAGCTGCTTTCTGGAGAAAGAAGGTGGATGAAAACACCTTCAGGCAAGGCAGAAAGCTCCCTCACTTCCTGCTCTCTCTCTTTCTTACATACACACTTGTCCTACTAATTCTCACCTAAAATCTGTCTGTCTGTCTGTCTAGGTAAACATCCAGTTGAATAATTTGGACTGTAAACCTCCTCTCACCAAAAGCTTCTCCATTGTTATGGTGAAGAGAACATTTCAACCATCCCAAGAAGGCAAAACTCCTTAGAAAAGACATCCATGCAAGGCCAATTAGGCGACAGAAGAAGAAAAGGGAAGACCACATAGGAGATGGATTGAATCCATAAAGGAAGCTACTGCCTTGAGCAGGGCTATCATGAATGGTCCATTCTGAACAGCTTTCATTCATTGGTTGCCATAAGTCAGAGATTATTTGACGGCACAGAACAACAACAGCAAAAGGAAGAAAGGAATGGGAAATGCCGTGGGGCCTATTTTCAACTAGCCATGCCTGAGTGAGCCACTAAGCCCAAGGCCTCAGTCCCAAGCTCATGAGGCCTTGGGCTTAGTGGCTCACTTGACTGGGAGGGAGTCAACATTTCCAAGGGGAACTCCACAAGCATGATGCGTAAGGCAGTGTACTTAGGACTGGACTGTGGGTAAAAGTCGATGAATTGTTTACTCAAGAGGAGGCTTATAACGGTTGAGAGGAGTGCTGAGGAGACTGGAGGTTTCTGGATTTAGTACACTTCAACTATAAAACGGCTCCAGTCCGTGTCTGGGATTGGTCTTCTGGCCACATTTCTAGAATGGGGTGGGATGGTATTTGCAACCCCTTCTCATGCAACAGTGTTGAGAAGTGACTTTGACATTGGATTTGTTGTGATCAGAGCTATTCAAAGACACATAAATGCATCATGGCCTTTTCTTCAAAACACCGATCTTAATTTCATATAGAGATAATGTCTGAAAAATTCCTAGATCACAGAAGCTTATCAATTGAAAATGGAGCAGCTGATCTTCTCATAATCCAGAAAGGGCTGAAAATCTGGGTCTTGGGTGTGATGAATTGGGAATCATTTTTTTTTTTTAAAGTTTTCAAATACCATGATGTTCCAAAGCATAACTGGAAAATGTTGGAGCTTAAAAACTTTTGAAAGAGATTGTCTACCTCATGGACTGAGTTTAGGATTAACTTTCACCACGCATGAGATAGTGCTAGACCTCTCTGGCAGGCGCCATCAAGTCCCTCCCATGTAAAAGTATTTACCTGTATTTCAACTAAATAAAGTGTTGGGCAGAATCCAGCCAATTGAACTATTTAACCTTTAAACCAGAGACAATTCTTAGATCTTTCCCACTGAAAAAACAAAACCCATACACAACTAAAAAGAACTAACATGCTTTGGGTCCTACTTCTTTTTCCCTGCAAACAATGCTTTGCTCAAAGCCAGAAACATTTGCATTGGCAAGGTTCCTTGGGAAATAAATATTTCCCCCATTGCATGTATATTATGCAAAGATCATGCGCAACCTGGAAACTACTTCTATCAAAAGTAGATAAATGCCTGTTTTCTCCAGCACTTAAACCCGTTGTGAAGACAACCCTGAGTTTTGAATACAACCCTGGGTTAAAACCATAATATATTCATAAGTGAAAGTCAGTTCAGTCTGAAATGCATACACGACACGCCTTAGAAGATTATTCTGGATAACTGCTCTGCTTTTCTGTTTGCATTAGTCTTCCCACTGACTTCAGGAAGAGATCCTAAATTTTACCCTCGCCTTTCGGAGATATTTCTCCTTTGAAGGCCACGAAAACCAGTTAGCGACAACTGCAACTAGAAATAAGAATAATAAAAAAAAAATACTAAGAGTACTTCCTAGTTTCCAATCTGGTAGCACTACTCTGCAGCTCTCACCCCACAGTTTGATACTTGTGTTTGTGTGTGTGGGGGGGCGGGAGGCGTGTTTCATCAACCTCTGGACAGACCTTCCATGGTGGACATTGCAAAAGCAGGCGAGTATGCTGGGAGTGATTCAGGCACGCCCTTACCTTTTCTCTCCACCCTTACCTTTTCTCTCGCCTCCCATTCCCTGTGTCTCGAAAGCCTTTGGCAAAAGGGTTGTTGTCAATTTTTAATTGGGTTATCTGGTTAAAAAGAAGAAAGGAAGGAAGAAAGAAAGAAAGAAAGAGCATAAGAATGTGGAGAAGGGATTGCTGTGAAAGCCAATATTGCAATATTTTCCACTGAAGTGCAGTGTATTATGGGTACTTTGTGGGGAGCTGAGTTTAAATTCACATGGGGGGGGGCAAGGAGGAAGGGGCAATGTTAGATCTCTAGTAACTGCCACTCAGTGGTTAATGGAGGTGGGGGGCAAAAGAGATATTTTAAGGAAGGCTTGGTAACACAATGATCGTAATAACCATAGGAAGGAGAAGTTGGTCCTCTCCATTCCCTTGCCTAAATCTCCACACCTCAAGGAAGGATAGCTAAGCCAATGACAGAGAGTCTTGTTGCCCCCGCTGAAGATTTCTTTGTGAAGCCCCACGGGAAGTAGGCTGCAGAAGACCCAGTGACTTGTTGACCCAGAAGGTCAAGTTATGGGGTGTCCGAGGTTCCTGGGTGTGCAGCACGAACCCACACCGTGCACTCGGTTTTTGTGGTCATCCACTGTTTACTGGAATGGGCCAGTCCATCGCCCGCGTGTTGGGTTGGCTTTGCTAGCCCCCTCGGTGCACACACGAACATCCACACCCCCAGGAATGAATGGAACGCGCTGCCCTGCTATCCATTAAAGTTATGTTTCAGTTTAAACTCTTTACCTGCCATAATTAAACCGCAAAGGAATGGTGGTCACCCGCTTGCTATAATAAAATACTTTATGTAATTACCTTCCACAGCCTGCATGCTTGTGTGTGTGTAAGGCTGGGGATTGGTTGAAAATATACACAGTACACACAGGGGTGCAGACCTTTCACTGGAAATTTCAGCCTCTTAAGGGATCGCCAAAAAAAAAAAAAAATCAAATCAAATCTGCCCTCCGTTTTAATTTTTATTGGCTTAGTTATTGGCTTTCATTTCCAAGTCTGTTTGGACACGATCCAGACCCACTCGAGCATGTCTGATTTCTGTAGAAATCCCCAGATCAGTTAGGTACACTTGAACATGGAGGAGGCTCCACCGGATTCAGTGCAACTTCTGAGGAGACAGATTTAGGATGGTTCTCTTAACTACCTGGCCAGTTCTGAGATGAGGGGACTTAAGCTGTGTAACTCTGGCTGGATCTAACTGTCCTTTTAAATTCCAGTTGTTGGGCAGAAAGATCCAGAGAAGTCACTCCCTGCCCTCCCCTCTTTCTTTCCCATGAGTTTAACCTACAATTCTAGGTGCACTTAATCTGAAAAAAGCCCCACAGAAAAAGTGGGACTTACAAATCAAGCGAATCTGCGAATGGCCTGCCATTGCCTGTCCCATTTTTCCAGATAGAAGAGTCTGCCCATGGGTTTTGGTGCCGGGTAGTTTCTTTCTCATTTACATTTCGTGGCTGAGACCTTCAGATGGAAAGAAGCTGGGAGAACGGGGGCCCATCTGCTTGTTGGGGTCCCAACTCATGCTGCCTTGAGGGGGAGATCAACACCATTCCTTTGGTTTGCACAGGAAGCTCAGGGGAGCTGCCCAGGTGCATACAGGAATGCGAATTCCACCACCCTTTCCAAGGCGATCGCTTGAGATCCACGCAACCGCAAAAGTGAGACCTTAGGCTTCAACCAGGGCCCCCTCCCCTTTTACCCCGCAACTCAGTGAAATCGGGTTGGTGGCATTCTTCTTCCGACAGGACAAATCCCCAGAGAAAGGACTCCTCCAAGGACCAGCACAAGGCCAAGACAACCTAACTCCTCATTCTGTTCCTGGGATTATTCCAAATCTTTAGCAGATCCTGGCCAGCTTTCCCTTCCTCTCCCAGCTGGCTCCGGCCAGGCCTTGATTTCCGAAGAGTGCGTCAAAGCTCCGGCGTGCAGCAAAGAAGATCCGAAAAGCAAGAAACGACGTCGGCTCTCCCCACTCCTCATGTTCACGCTCACACAGCCCGCCACTGCTTCCAAAACCTGAAAGGTTGCCTGCCAACTTCCACCTCCAACCCTCTCACAGACGTGAGACACATCAATTTCAACGGGGCTAAACTGTTGAATAAACTGGGCTAGGAGGATCTCTGTCTCTCTCTCTCTCTCTCTCTCTCACACCCCCCCCCCCCAGAGCATAGCGCACACTGGGGTTTCCACCTTGCAAGGTCGCCAAAGGTTCAAGCAAACCACGACTCTGGATGTTTGGAATCCAAACTCCATCGGACTAATTTGCAACAAGAAAAGAAAATCAAATAAAACCAGCCGGCTAAGCTAAGTCTCCGGGGTCCTTCGCCTTGAATTCATTACCATAAATTTAGCATGCGCCAAGCTCCTAGTTATACCACTAAGGTGGGCAGCCTCCAACCCACAGGAGATATCATGCTCACTGGAGAAGGGGGGATCCCCCACCCACCTTCCTTTCTCCAGAGTTGGCCCAGTCTTTCCTAGTAAAGGCTTCTAGATTGGATTCTGCCATGCAAGGATATTTTTCTCCCTCTCCCCAGCTATTAATTAAAAAACTTCCAGTATTAAAGCAGTGGGGGTGCAGAGGAAGACTCAGAAACAGACTTTTGATTGGGCCTGCTGTTCCAACATGGAACGTCTGCTTCCCAGCACACAGAAGCATGCAACACTGCATCTCCCCTCTCCCAAATTACACTCAAGTCCACCCTTCCCCCTCCTGAGGGAACTTTCTCCGGATATATGGAATATGCTATCTGGAGGATTCCTCCTCCATGCCCATTTTCTCCTTTCAAGTGCAACCCTAGTCGAGTTTAGGAAGAGAATATCCTAAAAGCACACACTGGATCTCCCAGATGACCCGCTCCTCGCCCACGCCCCCTCTCCGTGAGTTTCCTCCAGGTAGATGGAATACGCCAGATTCCACCTCGCCCCACCTTTTCCTTTTAAGGTGCGATCCTACCCATGTTTAGGGGAAAAGTGCCACAGAATCCTCTCCTGCACACCCTTTTTCCTGCCTAAGCTTGCATAGGATTGCGCCCTTAACTTTATTTCGCAAGCGGCCCGAGGGAAAGTGAAAAAGAGGTGGGGTCAGAAAAGGGAAGACAAAGCCCCGGCGCTGGTAATTTTCTAAACCAATCTTGCCGCATCAAAGCATTAGCCGAAGCTCAAGGACCCCCCGCCCCCTACCCAGCCCCGCTTAAAGACACAAGTTATAATCGCCTTACCTTGTCGTTCTGGTATGCGGTGACGGCGATGAATTCGGTCTCCGGAAAAACATAAGTGCGGAAGGTGCTGTAGGGCAGCTTGAGAATGTCGTTGGCCCGAACTATGTGAAACCGAGGCTGGTATTTGTGCATGGAGTTCAGGATGGTCTGCCCGGGTGGGATGCAGGGAAAGAGAGAAGGAGAGGAGAGGAAAGAAGGGAGGTAAACTGAGGCTGGCTGAGAGGGTCCCCACGAAAGGGTGGCACGCGGGCGAGTTGAACTGACCCCCCCCATGGACCCTCCACCCCCGCACGAGTCACCCCGCACCCCCCTTTTTTCATCCTTTGCCACCGCTGTGAAACCGTTCCTAACCACCACGGCTGAGCGCCATCAAGACTTCTCCAACTTAGGGCGACTCTATGGACGAAAGCGCCCCCGCCGGCAAATGCCCTATCCGTGACAGCTCTGCAAGACTTCGACATCCTATAAAACCATAGCATGGGAAGGTGTGTCATTTTTCAGAATTCGTGCCCCCCCCCCGAAAAATACCCCCCACCACACAACCATGAGCAGAGATAAAAATTAAGCGGGTCTTGATGATCTGCTGGAAGGGATGCTGAGGACACTTGGCTGATCCTTCGTGCCTCCAGCTCCAACTGCACCAGAGAAATCCGGAGGCCTTCCGGGAAGTCCCGCAACGACCCGCAACGACCAGCCCGCGAAGCGGCGGTCTCCCTGCGCCGACCACCCTTTCCCCCCACAAGGAAACAGCGCCAGGAGTAAATGACCTCATTTCGGCACTTCGGCTGCTGAGCCGCTGGCCTGGAGAAGTTAATTTCTCTATCGGTTCACCGACATGGCGCTTGTGAAGTGAGCTGGTTACCGTCCCCGCCGCCCCGCCGAAGAGGAAGAAAAACCAGCAAGGCGGCCCGTGTGAAGGTAGGCTCGGGTTTAAGGGAAGGCGAGTGTGAGCTCGGCAGAAGCCTAGTCTATCTCCATCTGGGCTGTTCGTCTGGGATTTGGGGCTTGTTTGTGTACTGGGGGGAACTGGGGGTGGGGGATATTTCCTGCCACCCCTTCTTCTCCTCTTCTCCTCCTAGTCCTCCCCAGCACCCTTCTTATCGGCACATTCAGCACTTTTCCCTTCTATGTCTTAGGTCTGCAGCCAAAATATGTGGGTTTCGGTTAGACAGTCCTCGGGGTTTACCGATCCAAAGCCTGGAGCCAGAAAATGACACCAGAAGGTGAGATATAAGATAGCAGAAGAAGGGTACCTCTGAGGACATGCTAGGCCCAGGAGCACCCCCCCTCCCTTGTTCTTTCTTTCTTTCTTTCTTTCTTTCTTTCTTTCTTTCTTTCTTTCTTTCCTTTCTTTTCACAGAGATGGAGCTGGCACACGAATCTTTCTATTGCTCCTTCCTGAAGGGCAGTGTCTATTGCAGCAGATTTAAAAGAAAATACTGTACTTGAAAGAATGCATAGCCTTTGAGGCAACACAAGTTCCCCCTGCCTGCTTTCCGGGATATCCTGATTTCAGCTGCTTAATTTAGGAGGGGGAGAGCAGGTTGCCCTTGTAATTATTAAACAATGGTGTAGGAGGAAGAAACCCTTGTGGATCTACTCTTTCTAAAATTGCACCAGTAGATGCACATATCCATCACAATTCTCCAACTCACAGAATGCTTGCTATGAATTTCTTATTATATTTATTCATTAAATAGTTTCAGTAAAGACTGAAGTCTGGAACTTAACTATTCTAGAGCTGTTTTCCTTTCTTTCTTTCCTTCTATCTGCCTTTTAAATAGAATTCTGTTCTTTCCAGTTGATAGATTAATGCTTTCAAGAGCCACCAATACTCAGGGAATTTCTGATTGGATTTGCAGCCTAGGGATATGCTTAACCCATGCTGGCTGGCTTCTCCCCACAACATATAACACACGAAGAAACTCACAATAATATGATAGCAAGACAGCAGAAGTGCCAATATATGTGACAATTCCCTTAACACCAACTTCTCCAGTTAAATCTGGCACTTATAAAGAACCTAAGATCCAACTTTGGGGCTTTTTGACACATTCATAATCCATAGTCTGGCCAGAACATTCCCCTTCCCTCCCAGTCTGTGTGACATGCCTGAGGTTCAATCCAAACCCGCCCTAATTTTCAAATACTTGTGTGTGTATGTGCGGGGGGGGGGGGAGGTTTAAAGGGAAAAATGCAATTAAGTGAAAGCACTTACAAATCCGTGTTTGTCCGAAATATTATTAGTCAGTTTGAGTTTGTGAAAAGTCACGACTTTAGACATCCATTGCTCGCCTGTCGCTGGACTATCTGGATGGATATACATTCTCTTTGGCATTTCAGGGTCAGCCTTGCCCGCCACCATCCACCGAGAATTGTGGAATTTATATCTACAATCATCCGCGGCCACAATGTCCATCAATAAAATGTATTTGGCCTTTTTATCCAGCCCAGTGCACCTCACTTTAAAGGGTGGAAACATTCTCCTGGAGACAGACAAATGGGCGGGCAGAATACAAACAAAGAAGGTGAAGAAATTAATGTACATATTATATATATATTAAAAGAAAGATCTGTTATAGGCAACGATTTTACTGTTTATTCCTGTACAAATGGGCTTCCCCAAAGGGGGGAAAAAATCCTACAAGAATTCTCTCCTTTTAAATAGTGTTATATTATCTCTAGTTTCTTTTGTACAAAAAGAAGGGGAAACTGACTTTGTAAATGATGATGATACTGATATAGATATTATTAAAATGATTAATAATAATATAGATCACTGTGTTGCCATGGTATACGGAGGAAAGCAGATTTATGGGAATGCATTCAATAATATTCCAAGTCTAGCAGAGTATGGCTATTAGGAAATATACAGCAAAATGATTCCACCCTTATAACTTGCTGAGAGAACAGATGCTTTAGTTATAGCTAGCTGTTGATGTCCAGAAACCCTTCTTAGTAGTAACCCCAAGAAATGAGACAGCAAATAGTAGTCAAAAAGCAAATAGTAGTGGAGTCTTCCTGAAGAACTCTGGCCACAGATCTCAGGTCTCTTAACGACCGTTGAACTGGGCCACCATGTTAAGAAATTATACACATGGATCGAGCGCCTGCACTGAGCTGCGAAGGTGGCCATCTCAGAAGCTCAGCAACATTTCTTGGGCACAAACTGAGAAAAAGGCAATTGCATGAAAATAGGATTGTTTCTAATTGAAGATTAATGTTTAGAGAAAACAAACTCTGCCATATCATTCGGATCTTTCCACTAGAAGTACAACTTGCAAACTTCTATCGGGGCAGGAGCCCTTCATTCTGAACATGATGATGATAAGCATTTTCAGATACAATGTCTGAAGATTTTATACTGTTCCAGAAAGTGTGATCCCTAAGCCAGGCTAGATCTTGCTCAGCAGATCCAAAATCGTGGATTAAAACACCTGGATCCTTAACACATTTACTGGAACCTAATGGCTGTCTTGCCCCCAGCACACACAGACTTGCGGGCCCGGAGAGAAGGAGCGTTTGGTTCTGCTTAAGAGTGCCGTTGAAGAGTGCGACCCGCAAGCAAACTTCCTTGGCAATAAGTTGTCGAGATTTGTTTCTGGCCAGGAAAGGATTCCAGCCAAAGCAAGGCGCTTTCCTTCGCCAGCAACGCTGATCGCTGTTATGGGGGCATGCACGTTCCCTTGGAGTTTCCCTGCTTCCTTTCAACAGGACCCCTCAGAAAAGTGTGCAGAAGGTTACCAGCCTTCGAGACCCCTGTTGGCCTGCCCTGAGCCCCTTTCCTTTCCATGGGTCTTCTCCAATCAGGATTAACACTGAATGCAACGCATCGCCATGAAGACAATGAGCTATTCATCTGTTGCATTCTGCCCAAACCTTTCCTGGGGGGAAGGCAAAACATGTCTAACATGAATATAGCCATGCATGTGGCAGCCATTCCACTCCAGCAAAGGTGTGCGCGTGCACATGCGGTCTTTCAGGAGTCCTAGACACTTCGGTATGTTTTCTGGGGAATGGGAGGAAATCCTCAAAAAGGTGAAATGCTAAGCCGTTGACGCGTCTTTGCAAGCCACGGGCCTCTAGGAAACCAAAGCAATGCCCTATTTGCACGCGCACACACACTGCACAAATTACACACAAGCTTCTGCTTTCGCCACACATCAGCTGCTTCGCCCAGCGGCTTGCTGGACAATTTCCCCCCGCACGCTTCGCACAGCCCCGGAAGGCCCTGCTGGGAGTCCACAAAGGAGAGAACAAACCAGGAGCGCGAAGGGGGTCGCCCTTACCTCCCCGACTTGGTGATCACCATTTCGGTCCCTCTTTTGTGGAACTGCTCCCAAAGCTCTTTGGCTTCCAGGTGGACCTTGGGGTCGTCCTCCACCTCTTCCTCGGGCTCGAGCGTCTTCAGGGGCCTCAGATGAGCCGCGGCTTGGTGCCCCAAGGAGGAGAAGGGGATCCCTGAATCCGCCGTCCCCACTAACTGATCCATGATCGGCTTGGCCAGAGCGCCCGGCAGCGACAGGGCCGCCGCTCCGTTGGGAGGCAGCGCCAGGGCCGGGAAGAACGGCGGCTGGTGTCCTCCGAGCACCGCGCTCATGGCGAAGTCCGGCGCCCGGTGAGGTAGGAACGGGTGGTAAGCCATGCCTGCCCCAGAAATCACGGGCTCTCTCATGGAGATGTTCATCCGAAAGCGGCGCCCCTCTTCCAGCGGCCTGAGCAGTCCCGGATTCCTGGAGCGGCCCTTTAACTGCTCATCGCCGGGGCGAGCGATCCACGGAAAGCGAGGCGGCGGCGGCGGCGGCGGCAGGAGGGGGGAGGCGAGCCCGGGGGGCGAAGGACCACCGTTCGGGGGTGTCGCAGCGGGACATGCGCCGTCACCAGAGAGTCCCCGAGTCCAAGCTAGGAGGCATGGTCACGCGGAGCTCAGGAGCTGCCCCGCGCCGCCGCCGCCGCCGCCGCCTCTACGCTTCCCCCCCCCCTGCTGGGTGGAAACGTCTGCGATCGATTGCTTAAAAAAATAATTCTAAAAAAGCTAGAATGTGTATTTGGAAAGGATCGCAACAGGGCGTGCGAGGCGGCCGAGCATTCGCCCCTACTTATGCGGCCAGGAGATGGACGCGGGAGGGGAGGGCGGCGATTTCGGTCGCGCAGGTAGGTCGCTGGTGACCGGAGCTTCTTTCTTGGCAGATCTTTTTTGTTGTAAAGGTTGCAGCGAGAGATTTGTTGGCTGGCTGCTTGGTGCGAGGGTTTTTCCTCTCTCTCCTGCCGAGGGCTCCTCGCCCTTTCTTTCTTTCTTTCTTTCTTTCTTTCTTTCTTTCTTTCTTTCTTTCTTATTTTTTTTCCAACAGCAAGGCTGCAGAGTTGGAGAGCTGTGTGTGTGTGCAGAAAGAGAGAGAGGAGAGAGAAGCAAAATTGTGAACAAGGTCGGTCTCTCGTCCTAATCAGTCTTCTCACGAGCAACCACAGCCAAAACTTGCAGCGAAATGTGGCTTCCGCTTTCCCCTCCCCCTCCCGGCTCGGCTCTGCCAAAGTTTGGATTCCAGCAACGCGTCTCCTCTCTCCGTAGTCCTGCTCCTTCTCTCCTCCCTTCTCACTCCTTGTTCCTCCCCGTCAACGCTTCAAACACGCACACACACACACACACACACACACACACAGCTCCACAACAATATACACATAGTAGCCAGAGGAAGAATCTAAAAATCCCCCCGCCCCGCTTAACCACGAATCGAGACGACGAACCAGCGCGACGGGGAACGGGGACTGCTCGGCTCGCCCGGATCCTGGACGGGAAGGGAGCCGCGGAAGGGGCCGAGAGCGAGCGAGCGAGCGAGCGAGCGGGCGGGCGGGCGGGCGAGGGCGAGAGCAAGCTGCGCTCGGCTCCGCGAAGCCCGGCGCGCGCGCGTGCGTGCGCGCGTGTGCGTGTGAGTGTGTGTGTCCGTGTGTCTGAGCTTGGCTGCCTCCCTGCGCCCGGATTGTATGGATGTGTTGTGGGATAGCAGGGCAGCTGCGGCATACTTGATTGGCTCTTTGACGCGTCCGGACCAATTGTGTGGCTCCATAGGCGTGGTTTTGACAGGTCGCGCGGAGGGGGACAGAGACGAGTTATAAAAAGAAGGTGTCGGAAATTGTAACGCTGCAGCAAAGCATCCCCACTGCTCGGTGCCGTGCGAATATGTCAACATGATCAGAGGCGAGGGGCGGGGGCAGGGGAGGCGGGGGCGGAGCCGCAGCCACAGGGGAGGCGGGGGGAGAGATCGAAAGAGAGCGAGCGAGCGAGCGAGCGAGCGGAGAGAGAGAGGGATCTGCCTCTAGGGGGCTTAGGAGAGACGAATTGGCCTTCGACGAAGCGAGCTCCGAAGCGCTTGGAAGCTGAGGATAGGGGGCAGGGAAGCCTCCCTCCCCCCTCCCCCCTCCCTCCCTCCCGCGCAAGCTGACCCAGCGTCGGGACATTTTCAATTTGGACTTATCATCAGCTGTACTCGGCCAGCTTTCCATCGCAGCCTCTGCTCTTTCTCTCTCTCCGCTGGGAGAGGAGCGCGCCACGTGAGCGTTGGTTAGAGAGGTGGGAGGTTCACGTTTGGGTGCGCGAGGAGGGGCGCGGCGGCTGAGATCCGCTGTCCCAGCTTTCCCCTCCCCACGCGTGCCCAGAACTACCGCCCCTCCCCCTCCCCCCGCCTCCCCCCCCCCGACACACGAGTTTCCAAATGTCTCCCCCCAGCTCTAGCGAGGAAAGCTTGGAGAGCTTGGGTAAGTTCGTTTCTTTGGGACCCAACAGCCTCGCGTGGCCCCCAGCTCAAGTCACGCACATACACGCGCGCGCTGGCCTGTCCCCTCCCTCACGCTCCAGCCCCTCGGGTCTGCGGGATAGCCGCGACACGCGCGCGCGCGCGCGCGCACACACACACACACGTTCACTCTCGACCCTTCGTGAGTATTGGCTTGTGTATGTCTCTTGCTACCCACGCGGAGAGGGCGCCGCACGGCAGCCGCCCCTTTCTGCCGCCTCCTCCTCTCGCTCTCGCTTCGAGAAGGGCGCTTGGAGCGCGTCCGCAGGGTGACTCGAGGAGGGTTGCATGAAGCGCCAGGAGGGACGGGTGGAGAGGCAGGTAGTCGCGCGTTAGGTGAGTGACAAAAGCCAGCGCGAGACGCCAAAGAGCGACCCTCGGTCTGATGAGGGCACCTCTTCTGGCCTTTGAACGAATCCCCGCGCAGACTTGCGGTTCTGCCACACTTGCGAAACGGGCTGATGGATGGATGGGTCTGGAGTCAGAGGGCTTCTCCCCCCCTCCCTCCCCCTCCCCCCAAGCCGCTGCGCTGCCCCTTATCTTTTCGTCACTTGGCTGAGGGAGGAAAGAAAAAGATGTGTGTGTTGCGGTGGCGCGGAGGGGGGGGGGCGGGTCGCTGCAACTTTCTGGGTAAAGGGTGACTTAGTGGGTCTTTCCAGGGCTATCTCTCTTTGCGATCGCCTTTATGACCCGCCTGAGGCCTACCGTCTCCTTCCTTTGCTCTGCCCCATTCTTTCTCTCTCCCCCCCTTCCCCCCCCCTTTTAATTTTGTTTAATCGTCTCTGGAATCGGCGGCGCTTCTTTCTGTTTGTCTGGAGCGTTCGAAAGGCAAACTGTGAAATGCCACTTGATGAGCGGCCTCGGTCTCCTTCTCGTCTGCGTTCCCGGGGGAGGAAGGCCGGGCTTAGGATTGGAGGCGAGAGGGGGGCAGGCGAGAGAAGGCTGTTTCTTGTGTTGCTGTTTTCCTCCTAGACTGGAGAGCCTGGAGCGGTTGCTCAGCACGCTGGCGCCGAATGGGTTACTCTCTGCATCCCAGCTCCCTTCTCACACCTCCTCTTTCCTGGGGGTGTTCACGGAGGGAAGGGAAAGTTAAGTTTTGGGGGCGCTGGCCTGGTTGAGGCCTGGAAAGGGGGAGCCTCTGAGCTAGGAAAGCGAGCGGGTGTGCGTGAAAGTACAAAGGGGGATGATTCTGGGCTTGTTTTTCTCGCGGTGGGTGCACGAGTGCCAGACCTCTCCCCTCCCCGTAAACACAAGCTGAGACCCGGCCGCCCATCCCTTCCCCCCCACCCCGCATCTCTTACTTCTCTCCCGTCTGTCTGCTGAGTTAACTTAGGGACCCGGATCCGGTCTGACCTGCCTTAAAGTTGGCACGTTGCTGGCGAGGCATGCCGTTTTCGGGGACGCCACGCACGCGTGCCAGTGCGCTCTCTCTGCGTGCCCCGCCGGTTGCGCGGGCACGAGCGCGCGCTGCGTGGAGATGCCCTCCGCGCTCTCTGGATGCGGAGCTGCGCGGGAGCCCAGGGGGCAGACGGGCGCGGGCAGGAACGAGCGCGCTGCTTCACTGGCCGGGGCGGGCGAGGTCTCCGGGCACCGCTTCCTGGTGCAGCTGAGAGAGACCTGTACAGGGACACGGACGGGGTGCGAGGAGAGACCGACGTGCCGTTTGGTACTGGTAGATAAAGACAGCATATTTTATACATCTAGATGAGGCAGCGAGAGAAAACACGCGCGCACACACACACGGCAGAAAGACTCACAGAATTCGCGCGCTCTCACACACGCCACATAGAGAAAGAGACACAGAGGGACCTAATGCCCAAGGAGAGAATCACGCTTACAAAGAATGATTGTGCTTGTGCGTGCGTGCGTGCGTTCGTGTGAGAGACGGAGATTCTCATGGATACAACTACAGAGATTTCCAGATGGGCAGCTTTCCCTGGATATGTGGAAACAGAAGACAAGAGGGCGAAGTAGAGTGGATGGCGTATGCACGGACGCGTCTGTATGCGCGAGCGCGCTGCGTGTTTTTCTGAATGTGTCTTAGATTCATATGGAAGGTGGACACAGAACTGGATGGGGGGGGTCTGTCGTGGGGGTCTGTGGGTGAATGATGGCTCCGGGCGTGACTGGCAGGTTGTGAGAACGAAACGTTCGTGAATGTCGGGGATATTTCCTGTAGAAGAAAATGCAATATAATTACGCCTGGGACATGGGGGGCGTGCGTGCCTTGGGGGGGGGGGGCGAAGGGCAAGCGGGATCATGTATATCTGGCTTGCATTATCTTTCTCTCTCCCCACCCCCCCCCATTCCTGAGAAAGATAAAAGGGATTGTGTGTTGGGAGACAGGAAAACAGTTTGTGTGTGGGGAGGCGAGCGGGGAGGGGGTCGGCTTCGGGCCGCGAATGTGGCCAAGATAGGAGCGGAACATCTAACGCGATTAGTTCTTCTAACATCGCATTTTCCGAAGCGCTTAGCTAAGAGTTCTTGGCGCCAGGGGGGTGGAATTCTTGTACGAAAGCAGCGTCTAAGCAAAATCTCTCCTCTCCCCTCTTGGGCTGGGTCCCCTTTGAAAGGAGCCAGGGAAAGGGCGACGGCGGCGGGGCGGAGGAAGGGTCACGGGAGCTGGAAGGAAGGAAGGAAGGAAGGAAGGCTCAAAGGCAGACACGCGTTCTCGTAGTGCCCGAAGACGCGGGCCCGCAGTGCCCGGCAGCCCCGTGCCTAGCACGTCTTTTACTCCGAAGTAAGGCCGGTTGTCTTCAGTGGGGCTTACTTCCGGGTAAGCGAGGGGCTAGGATTGCAGTCGTGGAGTCTCCTGTGGGCCGAGTGTGGAGTGGGGGATATGAATCGAGAGCTTTCCTTATGCTCCGTGCAGACCTCAGAGCAATACTTGGCTGCTCCCAGATTTTTACCTCTGCGCTTTGGGACAAGAAACCCTCAAGAAGGAGATTGCGGGGGGAAACGTGTTCTGAAAAGCTCTTGCTTTTTCCTCCAGGGGTTGCGAATTTTAGCTGGGCTGAGGCCTGCCGAAAACAACCTCGAAGAGCAGAGATTTGAGAGAGCGAGAGAGAGTCCTTTGGCGCTGGGAAGCCCTTGTGCTGCTTAGCTCGAAAGACAGTATTCCTCGTGGTTTTCGTGTGCACCCAAGACGCCTCGTGTGCACCCTCTGAGAGAGTCCAACAGTCAGAACACGCCAAGTTCTCAACCGAGCCCTGGCAGAACACGGCTCCCTCTCTGCTCTCTCCCTCTCTCAATCTCTCTCAATCTCAGTCTCTTTCTTTCTTTTAATATCCCAAAGACTAAATTTAGCATCTCGTTGTCATCCCATGTCCAGCAACTGAATGAAATAATACATCAGCAGCAAAAGAGGGTTTTGTGGTACCTAAAGGGGGAAAAAGGAAAGGGAAAGTCGTGCAAAGCACCCTTGCTTTGCACGACTGCTGAATCCCGGGGAACAAGCAGGGGCCCATGGCTGCTTCATACCCTGCTCCTGAGTTTCCCGGGGCAGCTGACTGGCCTCCGTGGACTAGTTGGCGCGTTGGTCTGGTCCAGCAGGACTTTGCTGATATGCTTACGAACATGTGTCCGTGGAGCAGACAACGTGTGAACGCAACTGAGAGCTCATAGACTGGAATGCCCTTGCGTATCTAAAAGGGGGAAAAGGCCAAGCTAATTCATATTAGTTTGCTCATGAACATTTCGGTTAAGTCCCTTCGGAGCAAAGGAAGCAGACAGAAGCGTGGGGGCCGTCCCGAACACGCAGGA